CCAACCTTCTGATATGTTCATTGCGATTTTTACCTGTGATTAAGAGGTCATTCAGAAAGCAAACAACATCATCTAAACCTTGTAAAAGTGATTCCAATATTCTTTGGTATACTTGCAATACCAAACGGTGCTCTATTATATTGGAATAAACCCTTATGGGTAGATATCACTATCAATTTTTTTGATGGTTCATCTAAACAAATTTGCTGGTACGCATTTGATAGATCGAGCTTCGTAAAATGTATCCCACCCTGTAGTGTGACAAAGAGATCTTCTATTTTTGAAAGGGGAAATGGATAGATTTCGATGAAAACTGGGACAATAGGAGATGCCCACTCCGAATACCGAACCTGTTGTATTACTCCAAGATTATTTAACCGCTGCCGCTTGAGTTTCTTTTCCACCCCTCCCTTAATAGTCAAAGGTAAAAGACGTGCTCTGAAAAATTTTGGAGTAACATAATCTGATTTTAATTTTATTCAAAGGGCCCAGTCCAAGAGAAATTGTATTTGCCAATCTAGCTAACACAGCTTCCAACTTTCTGATATGTTCATTGCGAGTTTTACCTGTGATTAAGAGGTCATCCAGAAAGCAAACAACACCAGGAGTAGTGAAATGGGAGAATCGGTGACAGTGAAAGATGATAGAAATGCGAGTAAAGTGATTTGGGTTTAGGGTAGAATTGTCAGGAAAATTGGAAGGTCGACATATATAGTTGAAGTACCAGAATTAAATAATATTAAATGGAAGCGAAACATTAATCAGATAAAAAAAACTTCTCAAATTCTTGAGAACAGAAAGATGTACCATTATCTGTAATGATCTGATTTGGTAATCCAAAACGCGCGAGACAACCGCTATTGTCAACCACGAGGTAATAGAAAACATAGGCAAAACCTCCAACCACTTTCTGACCCATAATATCTAAATGCAACCTATACCAAGGTTGTTCCGGCCATGGCCAACAAGTCAAACTAGATTTATCTGGTGATTTTTTGTACATTAGACAACTTTCGCAAGTTTCACAAAATTCTTCCATTTTTTTGTCTAGCCCTGGCCACCAGAAACATGAGCGTGCATGTAATGTAATCTGGCGACCAAAGCGTACGGTTAAACCTTGATTCTTCACTGACACCTGTCGGATATAATCCAACGCCGTTCGTGGTATTAGCTAGGGGAGTAGTTGTTTTCCTTTTTTTTTCCTTATACGAGGAATTGGATAAATTTCGGATATGCGGATGGTTACCTTGTTCACAGACAGATGGGGCGATTACAAACCTGTTGTTTGTTGTCCGCTTCAGCCAAGTTCGAGGAATGATTCTCTGATTCGATGATTTTCGTTTATCGGAAATCATCGACTTTATGTTGATGATAGATACTACCTTGCACTGACGAGTGCAATGTTTTCTGGTGTTACTGCCTCATTTGGGCGTTCACTGCGTTCTGCATCATCGGTATCTCAACGACTACGGTTGAAGTCAGCAAACCAACGTTGAATTGTTGTTTCTGATGAAGAGGAGCCCTCTCCACACTTTTCAAGCCACTGCTTCGCTTGAACGGTATTTTTTCCCATCAAGAAGCAGTTGAAAATTAAAACACGAAATTGTTTTTGGTCCATTGTTTTGAAAATAACAAAAGTAGTGTCAGTTTCAGCACAATAACTCACAAACTTATGAGTAGAGTATCATGAATTTCCAGCAGCGTTCTTTTAAAGGTTAGTACTAACTGAAAAAGCCGCGAATGCAATGAGACCAGCGCCATCTATGTGGTAGGCCCGAGACTTTTCAGCCCATGTAGTACATCTCTTCAGTATCCACATGATGCAAGATGCTTTCGTCTATGAGCTGCACATCATCTCTGTAATCTCAGCATCGTCCTCTTCCGAGACGGATTTTTGGATATTTGTCATTCCGAATTCCATGCGGTTAGCAACGCCACACCTTTAAGAACTGAAGAAGTTCCTTTCTTTCAGAGGAATAAAATAGGTTATTCCCATGAAACAAATAGTGGCCGAGGATACCAAAGTTATGTCCTCGTGTTTTTCTGAGCGCGACGGATAATGGCAATAGTGAGAATCAGAAAAGGAGGTGGCTGAGGTAATCGTCAGAGCGGTGTCAGTTTTTCAAGATGTCTCACTTTTTGTATCTAAGCAAATGCAAAATGAGCTCTTTCGACGGTGCATCTAATGAACTGAGTTTTGCGTAATATATCTGTCGATGAGCAAGTTCCTCAAGTCAAGTATTAGATGATCTTAAAAGTTTGTAGACTAACACAGAGACGGTGCTACTATTATTAAATCCATATGATATTTAGTCAACGCTAACTTTCAAAAGACACGTGTACAAATTTAACAGCTGTCTGTTTTTTAGTTTGTGGGATAGAACATTTTGAGTGAAGCAACTTTTGTTAGTTTGAAGAAAAAGGATAAAAAAGGACAAAAAAGAATTTCTTGTGTTAATGGAGCATTGCTTTTTGGAACGATGCACGTAGTGGAGGCCCCAAAGAGAATGTTACCGACGAAAATATAAAAAAGTCCACAAAACAATCTTCATTGACAGCAAAGGGAAGTTGATCGAGATGGATGAGGCTCTGAAGATATCAAAGGAACATGTTGGACATATTGTCCATGAATATTTGTGTATGCGAAAGCACTGTTCAAAGTGGGTGCCGCGGGAGTTCCGTTTCTGATGTGGTGATGAACGGACGTGCCGATAGCGACCGTCCACAAAGAAGGTACGCGGACGCCATTTTTGGAGACGGAATTCAGTTTGTGTTGTGATGTCCGCCGTTTTATAACGAGCCAGCAATCGTAAAAATAATAGTGTTAATAAAAATTGTTTGTGTCTGTGTAAAATATTTATAATACCTGCTCCCATTCACGACGGTTGGAGGCCGGAGGGGACCGGATGTCCACGTGGGAGTGGAACCGCAACAATACTATTTTATGAAGAAGACAATAGTTTTATTTCTAAGAACAGTAGACCTCATTTTGGACACAGACTTGCAAACTGCAAGACAGTTTTTGTTCCCCGATGAAACTTTTGTTATGTAACAGCCAGTTACGTAACAGGAGGAGCATTGGTCAAATGCGCCTGAAAATAGAAAGCAACGACCATCCAAAATAGGGAGAGAGAGAGAGAGAGAGAGAGAGAGAGAGAGAGAGAGAGAGAGAGAGATAGAGAGAGAGAGAGAGAGAGAGAGAAAGTGGGTGCCGCGCGAGTTCACAATCGACCGAAAACAACGATTTGATTAATAAGAACTGTGTATAAAGCTGTTCCACCATAAAAAATCGAATTTATGCGTCAATATGTGACAATGAATAAAGCATGGCTCCATCATTTCACACCAGAATCAAAACGATCATCATCTGAGTGGACTGCACATGGTGAACCGACCCCAAAGCATGCAAAGGCGCAACAGTTGGCTGGCAAGGTTATGGTATCAGTATTTTAGGATGCGCAGGGTTAGGTAAGGTTAAAACCCTCAAGGGTTTATTGTGGCTCACACCTATTCAAACTCTACCAAATATACCCAGCTTCTTGACAAAGCCGATTAGTTTATATGGTGAGTGATTTCTCAAGTCAGATGGTAGAAGTGTGGTTCTGCCAAACTCTGAAAACCTGATTCAGTCCGCAGCAGGACAGGCACAAAGTATATGCTCTGCTTCATCATTTTCCAAACAGAGGCGACACATTAGATTAAGATTAGATTAATATGGGGCTTTTGTACTGGACAGCGACTGCGACCTTTGCAGGTCTATTGTGTGTGCCCTCATGTATGCTAGAGTTGTAGGTGTTGATTCCTTGTCAACTTGTGGTCAAAAATGACTCCCAAGTGTTTTGCCTCTTGTGCAATTGGAATTTCTACCCCGTGCAGTACTGGTGGCTTCAGCCCTCTAAGTACTTTTTACTTTTCTTTTTTAATCCATATGAATCCCACGAGTAGCTAGGGAAACTTAGTCCTCCGCGACAGAGCTCCGCATGCCGCGGTAAGGTCTTGATACTCTGAGATGCGACCTGGTGTCTCAGAGGTACCGTTTTTCGACAGCTTACCCTGCTGCCATCCAGTCCTCACAGCCCCTCTCTCTGCCAGAGCATTGAGAGTACACTGATATGCAGGGCCACCTGGTGCAGGGTGCTATTCTTCATAACGCACAACGGTCTTGGGATAAGCGTCCTCGAGAGGCTGGTCTGACCTCCTCGGCTATTCCCCTGGAGTCAGTGACCTAGTGCTTGACTCCTCGACCCCAAGGCGACACATACTGTCTTCCGACAGTCCGAGTCTCTGCTTATGATGATTCACACGACAGTGACCTGTGAAGAGGTCTGTTAGATATCGTAGTTCATCCCTACTTCAGTCCAACAACTGTTTGGTTTCATGATTCCAAAAGTGAATGAACGCCTTGGAGTAAGCCAATCCTGGAAGATTTTGCCAGAAGTCTTTGAATCTTCTTGTTCAATGTTTGTTTGACAAAACCTAAAACAATGCCAATGACAGGTTCAGGTCCAATGATGCTACTTGCAGCACCCTCCTTTGCAAGGGGGCCAGCAGCCTCATTGCCTATCACTATCAACAGCGAAAATAGCATTATTGGAGCGTTTGAAAGACGAAATCGCAGGAAAACGGCTTCATTTGAAGATAAAGAAAGTCCTTTTTTTCAATAAAATACACCGTATCACAAATCAATTGCCAAAATTGCATGAATTACGCTTCGAATTGCTTCCACATGTACATTGTGCAGATCTGGCTCACAGCGACTTTTTCCCGTTCTCAAACCTCAAGAGAATGTTCGCCGGAAAGGAATTCAGTCCCGATGAGAGGTATTCGTTGAGCCTTCATGTCGATCATGTCGATCCATACCGAGAAGTTGATCAGAGCATCTGATGCATTCAGCACCTTCATTATCATTACAATAATTTAGGCATTATTTTTTTTTCATATATAATTATGTAATTTTTTTAGGAAACCAATGATATCGGAAAGTTTGAGAATTCCAGATGGATTGTTGGAAGTGGGTATTTATTAAGATGACAGAAAAGAAAGTTCATAACTTTCATAAACGTTACATTTTATATATTCAACATAGGTACGTCTTCGAGCTCTTGATATTCTTGAACCTTATTGTCTTAGCTTTCTCTCTTCCCCTCTAGAGCGTTGTTGGTCTCTGCAAGACAAAAAATTCAAAGTGAGTTGTAGTATGCACCTCATTCGCTCTTCTAGCTCTGGTTCTCACGGTTATCCGGATATTCTAAGAACATTAAAGTATTTCCTTTCATGTCCATAAAAAATGTATTATCTTCTTATAGGTCACTCTAGATCGAATTACTTTATTAGATTTGGTTTTATATTTGGTTTACGATTTTATATTTGTATTCAAACTTGATTTAAGTACGGATCTGCCTTCGGCGACGATTCAACTTACCCCACTTCAGGCTTCACTTACACGCGCCTATAGTCCTACTTATCTTTCCCTTGGTTTCTATTTCCATGGACATGCCTCATTAAACCAAAATCCTCTATTTCCCATGAATTATAAAATGTCTTGTATTGGATTTCGAAGAAAGTATTTTTCATAATTTCTATCCGTTCACTACGTATGTCCAATTAATATCTTTCAAATGTTATGCTCTAAAAAAGACGTGAGAACGAATGGTTTGTTGATATAGTATTTTATAAACTAAGCAAGTAATGAATCCAATCTATATAATTCTTGATTTTATCGCACGGTTGGACCACATTTTAAATACTTACATACTTAATCTTTATCGATTGATAGAGAATTCGTGACCAACAACAAAACATTCGTGTTTCAAGAATAAAAGGGAATTAAGATTATTGGGAATATTGAGGAATTATTGTTTATTTTCGTAAAACTATTAGTGCAGTAAAATTAGATCCAAACCTGAAAATTGAAAAATATTTAAATATGTCTTTCATGCGTGGATGCATCGATTCATTTGAAAGATATCAAATAACTATTGGTTAACTTCAACTTTGTATCAAACAGCATTGAATTGACTTGAAAATTACTACATATATGTTATCAGACTTTTCCAGTGAGTTCGGAATATGAAGGGAGAAATTTATTATTTTCGTTATGAATTATATAAAAACTACTGAAACTATTACAGAGCAAAGACTGATCCACGACAGAAAAAAGTTTTGAACACACCAAGGCCGTAGCCAGGAGGGGGATCAAGGGGGATTTGGTGTTGGGAAAAAACTCCAGTAATATTCATTACTACACCAAAGGTTCCAAACAGTGCATCATAAATCTAGACGTTGTCGAAGATCTATGGTCAATAGTGAAAGAAAGAAAAGATGCAGTAGTTATTATGCTGTGAATAATAATCATGGAGCGTTAAGAGTTTACTTCCTAGTCCTCTGATTTCTATCATCTATACATTTTATTGAAAAATTATCATTTAATTATATGATTTAAATATCATGTTCTACCTTTAAAAATATCACATGCAGATATCCCATTGAAAATGTATAATTTCTTCAATTATAACTAAGTTATCAAAAATGCAAACTTAATTTGAATCAGCCTGTTTTGGTAGCTCGTGTTGATTATGAGATCAGTCTAACCAGCCATATTAGATTGTCATTGTTTGATATCCATGACGTATGTATTATTTTGAACATAATTCTCACATCCATTTTCATTAAACAAAACTGATTTGCTTAAATATTTTCATATCAACTGTCACTTTATGTCTGTCCACCTCTTATCATCCGGTTGTTTGTTATTATTGTTGAATTGAGATTTAAATCGAATGAAAAACTGTAACTATATACCAAGGGAAAAGGTGTATATATGCTGAATATGTACTTTTTACGTTCTAGTAATTTTTCTAAAAGGTTTGAAGCAACAAGGTTTTCAAAGGTTTAAAGATCATGATTAATAATAACAACAGATATCCCACCAGACTTTCGTAGTTATCAGACAATACAGGAAAATTGGAATTTCCGACTGAATAGTTGCTACCCAATAGATTTATTTCAACACTGTCTTTATTACCTGATTTATGTTATTATTTTCAAAAAGCTATGCTTCCGTTATTGGTGTACTAATTTTTATAATCTAATTGTCTTTCTTTTCATTTCAGATTGTGACCAGCCTTCTTGCCTGAAGTGTGGCCTCAAAGGATGTACAAGATGCTTGGACCTGATCGTCTACCCAACACGAGAATGTGTATCTGAGTGCCCTTTTGGTCACGTACAAAAATGGAGCACTATGGTGGATTTCATCGGACGCGTGTGCCAACATAACGGAAATTTTTTGGGACTTTCCACCAATGCCTTGGCGGTACTAACAGGAGTTATAACCGGAACAGTTCTATGCATAGTATTCATATCCGCAGTGGTTGTATATATAAAATATAAACGAAAAAGTACGCCCGCTTTGAGCGAAACCAGTTCAGAAATCGATGACTCTCCTGAAAAGAAGGACTTTTTGAAACAACTAGAGACGCTAAGACCTTACGCTCCCAACTATCTCGATATGCTGAACGACACCAGGCGTCAGATCAGGGTACTACACAGTACAGGAGACAGTAACGCCATCTCTGCTTATAGACCAGTAATTCGAGATCTGGCTAAAATACTTATGCTTCTGAATAGGCCCGTTGAGAAAACTGCCATGCCTGATGAATGGGATCATCTCTTCAACTGGGCGGAGAAGGCCCTGAAGCGCTACAAGCGTATGAGCGAGACTTCACAGCCCCAAGTGGCTCAATTGATTAATTTCCTTCAAGGTCCTGTATTACCGACAGATTTGGATAAGGAGTCAGACTATTCAGTGAGGGGAAGCACCGCTATGAGCACTTTCAAGCCTGATCATATGTTCGGGTCTAGTTTGAGTCTGCAAGATATAGCCATAAATAATTTCAATAGTAATTACGATTCCAAATGCCATCTTCCATTGAATCCTCAATGGAAGTTTGAGTATTCCTTAGTTTCTAATCACACTCCTTCATCGGAATTCAATCCATCGCTGTGGAAAAATAGCAAGGAGTATCTCAATAATTCTTTGTTTCTGGAAGACGACTTTTATCAATTAGGTTTCCGACCTCAAGATGAAATAACAACTGAACTTTGAATATACTTTCTCTGGTCGTTTTCGACTCTCGATCCAAAATGTACTAGTCATTCAATATTTTTTACCTTTGTATGTGTGTACCTCTTGTATTTGTAAATATGTTTTAGTTGTAGGATATAAAGTGTAACGTGAAATATAAAATAGTTGTAATGTGAAAAATTGCTCATTGTCTTAGCCCAATATCCACCCAATATCCCATTACCATTAGGAAAGGGTAACAGTCTTTAGATACATCTAAAACAATTTTGTTTTATTTGTTGATTTTTGTGATATGAATGTACCTACCTTTTCTTCGATTAGTTAACCATTCAACTACAAAAAAATATTTTATGGTTTTAGGTATAGAAATACTTGTAACAAGTAATCTCCATCAAACAGTACTGAAATTTTTCTATAGGTACTTTTACACCTTAATTTTTTTCAATCAAGAAGGCTGTGAAATTGACAGAGTTTCAAAGTTTTGTTAGCCCAGAGGGGTAGACTGCTCAAAGTTACAGAAATCAACTGCATACACTTTTTAAGTTTTTACCATCTGTAAGAATCATAGCTATTGAACTTTCTAATATGAGGCCTTTCCTAATCAGATTATCAACCCAAAAGCAGATAAGGCAATACATATTGCAATCTTGGACATAAAGTAAATATATGATCCGTCGGTAGCCGGGCGGTTCAACGTGGGTGCTTTGTTCACTCGGTCAATCGGCCGATGTGTGAGTCGATGGTTCAAGACCCAGGCTGAACGCTCGATTTTCACTTGCTATCGTCCAACCCGTGTTAGGAATCATACGTTAAAAGGTAAGACCTCGTTAGTCCTTAGCTCGCACAAGTTTCGACTTCTGAGGGTTGTCGTTCGTAGGGGTGCGACAGCTGGTTCCAAGCATTCCAAGCATTCGTAATGGAATCGAATCAGATATCATTCACAGTATTCCTACACAATATAATAAATGAAAGAAGTGAGATTTTTATAATATTGTTCAATATACTTTCAAAAATGGTCAACAAAGTAACAAAAACCTGATGAAGTCTCTTATTGGATACTACCATATTATTATGTTGAATATTTTATCAAAAACATTCGATCTAAGCCCTTATTGCCCATAAAATGTCACATTTCTATCAAAGATAAAATGGCTGTCAAATTAAGTCGTAAAAAGTTGTGAATATTCTTGCAACATCTTTCAATATATGTGAAATATTGTTTATTAATTGCGCGAAGAGTTTTATCCATATCAAGTGAAATTTACATGAAAATCTTGTAATGATTGATTTGAACACTCAAAGAAGCTATTGAAAATGTGTTACAAGAAGTTGCATAGGTAATGAAATTGATAGTTTTGGGAACAAGCACAGAAACATATCAACGGTGATACCGACAGTCAATTTTCGTCATGAATTCATATTTCCAGGGTGTCAACAGTACCTACATCAAAAAATGTTCATGTTTTTGTTAACCTTTTCATGATTTTTTTTATTATCATCCAACTTAAAAGAGACATGTACTATTCTCATAAATTCTTATATATAAATCTAACTGGTGTGCTAGAATCTAACAACCAAGATAAATGTTCACAATCTGAAAAATTAGAATAGAAATGAATTTTTGTAGCTTATTTAATTTATTGAGGTTAAATAAAAATAATAATGACGCAATGTGGTTGAATAATGTTATTGTTAACTGTTACTTTGGACTGCATTGACAAATTTTGTGCTATTCTACTGAAAAAATATAGTTTTTTTGATATTTTCTCATGCATATATTAAAAGTGATTGTCAAAATTTAAACAATTATCCAGTTGAAAACTGGACTTATGACACAACCTAAATTTTTTCGTTATTGATATTGAGGTTTATACCGTTGATATCTAGAGAACTGTATTTATATTTCGTGGTGAATATAATTTCTTTTGTTTTTGTTACGTTTAACTTTAATTTGTTAGTGCATAAATATTCATTTACCGTTCCTAAAATCCTGTCCATTTTATGAATAGCTCTATCTAAATTCATATCGCTACACATAAGATTCAATAAAAAGTTCAATATCGTTCAAATATAAAACAAAAATAAATGGCCCCAGAACGCTACCTCGGGGAACACCTACATCAATGTCGTTTTCATTTGATAGTGCATCTTTGAAACGGACTTTCTGTTTTCAATTGTTTAAATAATCACTGAACCATTCTAACACCTTTCCATCAATTACTGAGCCAATTTAAACAACATAATTTCTCTATCAATTGCCTCAAAAGCTCTTTTTAGGTCTAAAAATACAGCAATAACATATTTCTGGCTATCCAAGTTAGTTTTAATATTACATATTGTGAGCTGTAATGCTGTTTCACATGAGAAGTTTTTACGGAAACCCGATTGATTATCTATCAAAATTGAATTTTTAGTGACGTGATGTAATAACTGATCATATACAGCAACTTCGAGAATGTTTTCAACAGCACGCTATTTCTATGTCACTCTGTCTATTATGCTCATTTGAACCGAAGAATCTTCCTGAGTAACTCTATTCCCTTCAAAGCGAAGCAGAATTCAAGCGGACCATACGCCAAAGCAACCCCAGCTAGACCAGTCAAGGGAAAAGGTTTCCTTTTCTGTGATGAAGATGTTACAGACCGGTTTGGGAGAATCTTATAGAAACAAGACTTGAAACCAATATTTAGGCCAACGAAAACTATTAGAGAAAGTCTTAGGACAACTAAGGACCCCAGAGAACCTTTAGCAAGGTATAGTGGATTTATTGTAGCTGCGGGTTGGTCTACATTGAAACTACGAAAGAAAGTATAGGTAGCCGCCTCTCGGAACACAAGAAAAATTGTCGCCTCGGGCATACCGAAAAATCAGCTGTAGCCGAAAATGCTCTCAAAAAGGCACTCACATTATTTCATTCGAAGAAACAGTAAACTAGATAAAATTCAACATAACCATCCACTAGAAAAGAAGTGGCAATGAACAATTATAAAATCTGCGCAACCTCTGCTGCAGGCAACTAGTCATGCAAATGAACCCAGGTTAGGGGGTTAAACCTTACAAAATACAAATAAAACAGAACACAAAGTCAGATGCGTCGTTCAAACAGAACTGGCTGGTATCTCAATCGCCACAAAAGAAATAACCAGAAAATGATTTTCTGGCAAAAAAAAATAACAATCTGCACTGATAGCAGACAAGCCCTATTAGCCTAGAACGGTCAACGTGTTGCCTGGGGGCTAGTACTAGAGTGCCACCAAGATTTAGCCAAAGCCTCGATAGATAATAACATAAGCCTGAGGTGGATTAAAGGGCACGACAGGAGTAAAGGTAATCGCATTGCCGACTCTTCAGCCAAGGAAGAGGCTGGACTAAGAATTTTAGGACCCAATGGCACCTACGTCCTGATGATTTCGACAATTGCGGAACTAGCCAAACGTTACATCCATGCTCAATTCCTAAAGAGTTGGGGTGAAATCAAAGAATGCACTCTTGCCAGGATCACCCTGGACGTCCTTGGGAAGCTGACGCCGAAGAATTATCTAGCGATGACCAGGAAAAATCTACGCTTAACAGTATGATTTCTGACTGGCCACTGTCAACCAAGAAAACACCTCCATAATATGGGGCTAGTGGACACACCTCTATGCAGGATGTGTGAACAGGAAGATGAAACTGTCAGGCATGTCCTATGCAAGTGTCCGGAGTTATCGTCAATAAGAGAGTGTGTGTTCGGCGAGTCTTAGCCTACACCTGCCAATATAAAGGAGATGTCTACTAGTAACCTGTCCACCTTCCTGGAAAGGGCAGGATCAACGATGACTTAGGGGGACAACTCCTTGGGAGGATGTACAATGGGTCTACATGTGGCCTAAGTGCTGTGGGCCTTCACTCACCCTCCCTACTCTACATATACAGATACTATTGGAATTATGAAATCCGTTTGAAATTTTATCAAGTCTTTGGCAAAACGAACCAAGTGCGCTTGAAAGAGAATATTGAAAAAAATTTCAAAGGAAAAACCTTACAGCAATGTGCGTACAAACTTTCAAAGATAAAATCTACGCTTAACAGTATGATTTCTGACTGGCCACTGTCAACCAAGAAAACACCTCCATAATATGGGGCTAGTGGACACACCTCTATGCAGAAACTGTCAGGCATGTCCTATGCAAGTGTCCGGAGTTATCGTCAATAAGAGAGTGTGTGTTCGGCGAGTCTTAGCCTATACACCTGCCGATATAAAGGAGATGTCTACTAGTGACCTGTCCACCTTCCTGGAAAGGACAGGATCGATGATGACTTAGGAGGACAACTCCTTGGGAGGATGTATAATGGGTCTACATGTGGCCTAAGTGCTGTGGGCCTACACTCACCCTCCATACTCTACATATACAGATACTATTGGAATTATGAAATCCGTTTGAAATTTTATCAAGTTTTTGGCAAAACGAACCAAGTGCGCTTGAAAGAGAATATTGAAAAAAATTTCAAAGGAAAAACCTTACAGCAATGTGCGTACAAACTTTCAAAGATCTTGGCGACACTACCTGTTTCCACATGTACCCCTGAAAGGACTTTCTCTTTTCTGAAACGCCTCAAAACTTGTTTAAGAAACTCCACAAGCCAGGAACGACTAAAAGGTTTGGCGTTAATGTAAATCCACCGTAGAATTGACACCGACACCGGAGAGGTAATTGATTTGTTTGCTGCAAAGAAAGCTAAAAAACTAAATTTTATTTTGTAAAAAGATGTTAATATTTCTGTAATGGTTTTCTAATAAATATTTGATCATGTAACACAATTATCTTTCTTTCGTTATTTTTATATTTCATGTTTTTCTACTGTTCCACCAAACCTCCCCCCGAAATTGTTTTTTGGCTATGGTCTTGCCTGACTCCACAGACCACACAAACTTCATATTACCTGACGTATTCCCTGGTGCAAGCGGATGTAATCATATCAGCGGTATGATGGTAAGGCATGTGCGAGAAATGTGGTTTTTGAAATATTCCAAAGTTACTGAAGGCATTCGGTAGGTATACAAATTTCTTGTAGAAAAACCCAATGCGGGAAAATCTAGTAGTCATGTCAAGGAAATATGCTAGGCCAACAAATTTTACCCATGTTTTTGATACCCAATAATCATGTGTCATGTGTATCACTGAGATACTTTGTAACCGTGGCAATGTTCTCCTTCTCATCGATGTTCGTTCTGCCAGAGCAATATTTTCAAATAATTCCAACAAATTGTTCTGTGAGAAATTATCAAAAGGGATCTGATCTGCTCAAAAACGAATGAGAATTTGAACTATTCAGTGCAAATCCCGCACGTATGCCATTGGCATGAATAAAAAATTGAGTTGCATGCCTTTTGATGCATATGAGTCGTACAAAAATCATAAAGATTTTTTTCTTGAAATTTAAGCAAAGTGTTATTCAAAAGAAAACCTCTAGGGTTTTTGTCAACATAATGTTTTTCTCCAAATGGTCTCATAAAATGATCCTAAATATCAAAATTGTACATTCAGATACGCTAGTGTCATCTTACGGATCAAGATAGAAAAAAGTATTAATTTATAAAGTTCTCGTATGCAACCATGCAACCACTACAGGTTGACATCTATCGTACACTAGTTGTACGAAGGCTAGCTATATTTCTTTGAATTATTTAGATTTTTGGATAGGTGTCGTGTATGAAACACACACTGCTTATAGCACAAGTCCATGTTTTTTCTTATGTCATTTATTTGATAGCGTTCATAATTAATCGTAACATGCGGTTTGATGAAATACATGGATGCAAACCAATGACAAAAAAATAGTTTGAATGAATACATTGGTTGAAGGAAGTAAAATAAAGAAAAAGTCTGAATGAATTTCAGTTACATTGGTGAGTTAACCAATGAAAAAAAGAACATGCGACAGAGCCGATGAATCACTGTTGGATGTCAACTGTCAATTACTAGTGGGGGGCTAATCTCAGAGTACTCTGAGGGGCTAATTAAAGTTATATAAATGGAAACAACATTTTAATTTCTAACTTTTGGAAGTATTTTTCGTTTTCCCCACTAGATAGTTGTGGTTTACTATAAATGATCGTAGGGTGTGGTCTAAAACTAACCAACATTTTGGTTGTATGTTGTGAAAGTAGCCGCTGCTGAGATGTTCATGAAAAAAATATGAAATTTTAAATATGGTTTCGTGAAAATCGTAAAATGTCAAATGTCATTCAATATAATTGGAGGAAGTGATGGAATGTAGACTGAATGCAAATAGAGTAATTCTATATGATAAATTCTGATATATTCTCTGCTTCACTGTAGAATTCGTCAACTTCAGTGGAAGTTTTTATTTTATACACTCAACGTGAATAGCACGTTTATGGGCCTCAAAATAATCAATTCGTTAAAGTGATTTTCGAAACAAAAAATAGCAAATTCTCTTTTTGTTCCTTGATGTACAAATATACTAAATGAGCTATAAGTAAATGAATTCCTTTTCACCCTCAATAATTGAATATTCAAAAAGTTATTTCAAAACAAACTACTCATTCATGATTTTTCAAAATTTTTCAGATAACCTCTGTCAAAACTGTTGGTTATTTTCAGTTTGAATTTAGTGAAATTTGGACCATATCCTAATCGAATTCATCGTTAACGAATCAGTGACGCGTTGACAGTTTTCGATAAAAAAGGGACAGGGGATAAAAAAAGGTAGAAGGTACAAGTATTTTTCATTCTTCTTCCTAAGTAGTTGTGTGATATGTTCAAAATATGGAAAACATGTTCAGTTGTATGTTCCACCACTGTTATGTTCCAAAAATGAATACTTCATAACCATTACTAACCAGAATTTTTGATAGCGGATATATGAAAAATATATTATTGTTGGTTACTTTTGAAATACGACGGTTGTCAATTGTTTCATTGATGAGTCAACAGCTGAATTATTTTTTTTAATGGAAACATCTCAACCATACACTGTGACCATAAATTTTCCAATCTATTGATATTATAATATTCAATCTGAATATTGAATTTGGGCGTTTTTTTCAAGATTTAATTTCGTCGGAGAAAGCTGGAAATCACTGAGAGCCCCTAAAATGAAGAATTTGAATAGTACTGAAGTTCAATCCCAATACCAACAACAAGATTAATCTTCCTCCTAAAGATGATCACTTGATGATTAAAACACGTGTCGAGGTGTTAAAAATAACGGTTTGGTGTTGGAAGTAAACTCCAGTAATATTCATTACTACACCAAAGGTTCGAAATAGTACATCACAAATTGAAGAATTCAATGAGCTGACGATAAAAATAGTTTTACTATTATTTACTTCAGTCTGTTATCATTTGCATTCAATAAAACAACGAAATTTTAAATGTGTTTTTTCCATCTATAATATTTTTTGGATATGTTAAAGATGGAAGCTTTGTCCATTGGTACACGACAAATGAAACTTTAGCTGAGGAGAATAACGAAATTAAATTTGGTGAACAGAAACAAGTAGTCTTTCGAAGTACACCAACATTTTACTTGGTTTACATTAGGTTTACTAGATTTTTTAGACTTCACCAGATATATATCTTTTAGTTATTCAGTAGAACCACAATAGCGGTTATTTTAGAAACGCCAAACCACATTTCAAGTTAATTTTGGAACATATCGTGAATGTATATGACAAGCCTCACAGAACACCTAAACTTGTATCTCATGAATGATATAAGATTGAACTTTCAAAAATGGGTACTTCATTTTCTTCAAAAATTTTGAAGGAATCGACCAAAAAAAATTGAGAAAAATATTCATTTGCGTTTTTCGGTAGGGAATGATTCGAAGAATGCTTTTGACGTGACGGTACTAATGGGTACCAGATATCAGATATTCCTAGCTGGTCGTGAGCTGGTTTCAGTTGGCATCACTGTTGCTAACGGATGTATCTTTTGGTTGATAAATAAAAAGTGCCAAAACAACTGTCGAACTCCGCCTACTTTTCATATTCCGCCGGTCAGTGACCAACCAATCTACGTGTATGGAGGTTGGAGCGTTTGTGTATTCATGATCAAGTGAAGTGTGCAGTGCTTCTGTTATATTTACTTTAATTTTCTTTGGAATTCCATCTTCCAGGTAAGCCACCGTGATACTGGTTTTTAATTTTGATGTAAAGTTATGTAGTTTCGCAGTTTTCAATTGTTTCATTGCATCAGTTCTTAGAGCAGGCGTTGTCTATGCAATTGGATTGACATATGCAATAAAACTTTTGTTTTGATTGTTGACTACTAAATATTTTGCTATTCTCAAGGTAACGATTGAATTTTTAATGTTTTCCAGATAGTCGATACATTTAGTTAGCTATTTTCATTGTTTCAGGTTTTCAAAATGTTTAAATTTATCAAAGCCAAAGGGCCACAGACAGCAGAGCGACAGAGATTGCAAAAGGAATTGTTTTCTTATAGAAGGGTAAGTTTTAACATATTTTTATTTGGATAACCTTCTAAATAATGTTGCTAATAAGAAAGAAATAGCTAAAATAAAATTTATTTCAAATCTTTTTTCTTGCTGATCAGATTTATCTACCTGTTTTATCAATAGAAGTTCCATTATATGATGAATAACAGGTGTTTTGGAAATAATCTACATTTGGTTCATGGCTTTCCTCTAAGTTAAACATTGGCTTTCAGATAAAAACTTACAAAATTTATGTGATAGATTAGTTGCTCCACATTTGTATGTGCAATGTTTGATTTAGATGATAAATAAGTTTATATATCCTGAATAATTATAATCCGAGAAAAGTTTGGTTATGATCTAGAACAATATTTCATATTTTATTTTTGATGAATGTTTCGATATTCATCAAATAATATTCCTGTCCTTCGACGATTTTGTTAAACTTGAGGTTCAATTCTTGTAGAATATTTGTGTAATTATAGATTTTTATCGGAACTTACTGTTTTATTGTTACTCAAAATATTCGCCAATAATTTGCCTACACTTTTGGTAGTATTCAAACTAATTCACAAATAAGTTTTTCCACTCTGACGTTGATATCTCAAAAACATGGTTTTGGAAGGCTTCGAAAGATTCTTGAGGATGTGAAAGTCACTGTTTATGTATTTTTTTGACATAGTAACAAAAAAAGGTTAGTCAGGTTAAATCATTGTACTTCGATGTCTTCCGTCAAATAATCAATTATTTGATGTGCTGTGTTGGAGATGGCATTATCATGATGAACAATTACGCTAAATTTTATATTATTTTTCATGCATTTTGGCGTTTAACACTGAATGGCATTATTATGTTCCATTCGGTGTTAAATGTTCTTTAACCCTCTAATTTCAAAGAAATGGTGGCGATATGTCCAAATAAAATTTGTTTGAAAAAATAAGGGATTATTTTCTCTGAAGTGCTTTGTGAAAAACATCTTTTGTGAGATTCAGTTCATCTTGAAATACCTCAACAGTGGGTTGTTGCTTAGTTTCCGGGTCCTACTAATATATTCACATTTTTTATCCTGTAATAATGCTGTATACTGATATTGCAGTTCCCAAGATGAATTCACACACCCCTTTTTTTGTAAATATATCTTTTTTACACTTGAATACTCGTGATTGCAAAATCCAAAGTAATTATTCTTGGTTTTGCCATGGGACATTTTTATCTAAGGGTACTTACATGCAGAACTTTATCAATAATTGTGCTGTTATTTGGAATCACAACTGATTTTGGTCCTTCTTCCCAGAATTAATCACTAATGGACACACCACCATAATGAAATTCTGTGAATCAATTGTAAACAATCGTTTCTGATGGTACTTCATTACCAAAAGTTGAATGAAACGATTCTGTACTTTATTCACTTTGAAAATTTCAAAATCGTTCATCAGAGTTCAAAATACATGCAGTTTTGAACACATATCTATCAAGATTCTCTCAGGTTTAGTTATTTTATTGCCAAATATCTGCAAATAATAACATTTCACAACTTTCAAAACAACAACCACTGACTTATACAAAAATATTAAATAATCAATCTAGGAATGTCATGAACTTCGCTTGCACTTTTCGCTTGCACTTTTCGCTTGCACTTTTGAAGTTCATAGGGAGACTTCTGAAACTTATCCCACTCCTGATATTTCATTTTTTATGTAAAAAAAATGAATGTGTAGTATAGTGTGTGCACATTTTTTGTTACTTTGAACTTTGTTGACAAAATATATGCATTTCAGACAGTAACGCCATTTTGACTTGTAAGAACCAATGTATACCTGATAACGGCAATATATTGTACCCCCTCATGGGGGTATCTCGTTTGTTTGGTCCTTTGATTTCCTATCCAGCACTGTGTTATTTTTGGAAATTGTAATCGAAATTCACTTCAGTTTATCCCAATAAACACATAAACATGTTTACCATCTACTGACAAAAATGAAATCTGTTTACAACTTACATTATGGACTGTTTTCGGGGGTAAATTTGTTGCAATTCTCTCTATGCAACATATATTGTATATTTTATAAATCACAAAAAGTCTAAAAGCGTCATATCAGGTGATCCAGCGGGACATTCTAAAAGACTACTTTTTTATGATTGGTTCGGCTGTTACTTGAGGAAGATCCATAGTAATTTCATTACCTACACCTTACGATTGTATCTCCACGAACTTTATTTAAAAAATATCACATGTTTCGCTAACACAGTAGCTTTTCCCTAGTGACAACATACTGAGTATGTGTTCACTACAAAAAAGCTACTGTGGTAGCAAAACATGTAATATTTTTTAAATAAAGTTTGTGGGGATCAAATCGTAAGGTGTAGTTTATGAAATAACTAAAAAACTACGTCTGCTGATCCATTGATTTGGATAATTGTCATCTAGTCACTTTTGAATCAGCCTGTCACCAGGTGAAAACTCATTTGGGTTTGTCAATTATTGACAGACACCTATCCGTTTGGATTACTATTATCCAAAGCGGTAGATGAACAGACGTGATACCTTAAAATGTCGCTAAGTCACCAGATATGACGCCATTATATTTTTTCGAGGGATTACCTAAAATCTAAAAGATAGGGGTGTATGTAGATATAATAAGAGGCGCTTGCAACGAAAAATACAAAATTGAGCACTTTTTTTTATTTCGACGAAAATTATAATCACAAACTATTTAACTATAAACTATTACACATAATTAATAATTTTAAAAAAGTTAAGAAATTTGGAGGGAAAAATAAAGTTTAAAAGGTGAATTGAAAGTAAATGTAAATATGTCAACTTTCTGTTTTTAGTCACACTGATTTTCATTGTAATATTTATATAAGAATAGTAATTTTCCAGCTTTTTCAATGCCTAATTTGTTGTCCAACTTCGAATGCCTCAGTCCAAATGAAAAAACATGCTCGACATCACATCAACATGGTAATCCTTATAAATAAAATTTTTCTCTCAACTTCCGGAACGAATGAAATTCAAAAAAATTACATACTTCTATGTACGACCTTGTATAAATAATTTGCATGTGTACTGCCACAACAAAGTTCAAAACCGTACTTCAATATCTAAATATATTTTTTAGATATTAAAGTTTTTTGCTGATTTTTTGTGATTATTATGGCCAGCAGTTTATATTTAATAAATGGTAATAAAAATAATCAGTTGTTGTGAGATCTATTTTTTCAGTTGGCTGCAGATCCTTGTAAATTTCATGGAAGATTTGTAATCTTGCAAATGTTCTGTAGCTATCCACTTTTTCATTTGCCCCAACAATAGTTTTATTGAATGAATATAACTGGAGTTTTTTCCCAACACCGTTATTTTAAAACCTCGACTGGGTTTGGATCACCAGTTTTGTTTATATTTCCTTATTTAAAAAAAATTAACTGTAAACTTCAACACTTATTACCACATCACTATCAGAATCAGATAGACACAACACAAAACCATACAACCACAGTCACCATCTACGACAGAGCCAGGAACAACTCCACAAGCATACTCCGGGGTCGGAGTCGAAAAAATGACATAATGGACATCCCACTGATGATATCTCAAAAACATGGTTTTGGAAGGCTTCGAAA